TTGGCTGTCCTGAAACTCACTCTGTAGACCAGGCTGGCCTTGAACTCACAGAGGTCTGCCTGGTTCTGCCTTCTGAGTGTGGGAATTAAAGACATGTGCCCTTACCTTAACCTCATTGTTTTTGATAAAATCTTGGCATCTAATCAAGAAAAATAAAATAGTCAGTTGTAAGCTTTCGTCCTTAAAACAAGAAATTTTTGCTTTGTTTTTTTTTTAAGGAGAAAAGACTCATCTACTTTAAAATATACAGTTAAAATTATTTTTAGTATACCTGTAGACTTGCGTGATTATTGGCATAGTTTAATCTTAGAATATTTTATTAGTCCAAAAAGAAACCTTATCTACATTAGCAGTTACTCTCTACCCATCACTTTCTACTTCAGCTCAAAGCGACCACTAATCTATTTTGTGTGTCTAGATTTGCCTATGTTGGATATGTTGTGTAAGTGATATTTTAAAATATGTGATCTCCTGTGGTAGTCTTCTTTTATTTAGCATTAAGTTTTTGAATGTCATCCACGAGTTAGTGTATATCAGTATTTCATTTCTTTTTATTGTTAAATAATATTCTGATGAAGGGATATAGATCATGACATTTATACATTCTCCATGGATGAACATTTGAGTTGTTACTACTTTTTGGTGGCTATCTCTAATGTTGCTGTGAATATTTTTGTAATGATTTTTGTGTGGATATATGTTTTAATTAATCTTGGAAATAGAATTGGCAAGTTTATGTTTAACTTTCTTTAGAAATTGTCAAACTGTTTACCAGAGAGACATAACTGTAGTTTTTGTTTTTTGGGGGGACAAAGTTTCTCTGTATAGCCCTGACTGTTGTGTGTTGTGGAACTCACTCTATAGACCCCACTGGCCTGGATCCACCTGCCTGAGTCACCACACCTGACTTGGTCCATAGTATTTTGTATTCCTGTGAATATTCTGTGAAGTCCCCACACCTGACTTGGTCCATACTATTTTTGTATATGCCTGTGAATATTCTGTGAAGGTTTTTGTTTCTTTGCAGCCTCACCAAGTTGTTTTTATTTCTTTTAAAATTATTATTATTATTATCCTTGTGGGCTTAATTGGAAATATAACACATTAAAATACAGCAAAATGCCATTTTATGTTCACTAAAGTTGTAAATATTTATAATTATGACCATAGGAAATGACTATATAGAGGTCTGTTATTTTTTATATGACTTCCAGATTGTTTTAGCTTTTTAAGTGGCTCTTGCTGAGATAGTGCTGCTTTTGTGTTCTCATTTTGAATAGTCCTCCAGTTTCCAGTTAATGCTTATATTGATTGTGTTCCTTCCTCTTCACCAAGCAAGGGATGAAACTCGGGGCCTTGAACATACCAGACAGGTACTGCTACCCCTGGACTAACCCCTCCCTAGCTCTGCCTGTACCTTTTTTATCTACTCACCCTTCCAGCGTGTGTTGAGGGCCGTTCTCGCCCTGTTTCCACCTTTTAAAAAAAGAAACCCAGTCTGGCCTTGAATTTGCTTTCTTCCTGCCTCAGCCTCCAGACTGCTGATACTGTAAATGTGGGTCCCATGCCTGCCTGTCCTTAAGAATCTAGTCCTGGGCTCTTGGCTTTGCTCAATGGGTAAAGGTGCTTGTCAATCCTGATGACCTGAATTTGATCCCAGGAAACTCATATGGTAGGTAGAAGGAGAGAACCAAGTTGTCCTCTGACTTCCACACATACGCTATAGTGCGCAAGTATGCATGTGTGTATATGCGCGTGCTCACACACACACACACACAGAGAAAGAGAGAGAGAGAGAGAGAGAGAGAGAGAGAGAGAGAGAGAGAGAGAGAGAGA